CGGCTTTGGGCAGCCCCCTTGCCTCCGGACCCTGCACCCCCGGAGCCTGGGAGGGGAAATGCCTGGCCGGCGGCTCAGGGTCCGGAGGTATGGGGGCTGCCCGAAGCCGGTAGCGCTCGGCTCTTAAACAGAGCCGAAGAGTCAGGGGAGGAGCACAGCAGCCGCGGGAGGGGAAGTGCCCGGGCGGTATTTTTCCCGGACATGTTTGGCTTTTTGGCAATTCCCCCTGGACGGGGATTTGATTACCAAAAAGCCGGACATGTCCGGGAAAAACTGGACGTATGGTAATCCTACCTTACACTGCCTAGGCATCCTTCCCAGGCCCTGGCTTTGCTGCAGTGATACTGCAGGAAAGACGCTCACTCTGGTGGTGGCTTCATAACCTCAGGCTGTCTGGCAGGACCCTTCTCCCCAGCATCAGGCCCCCTGTTGGGGTCATGTCCACCCCTCAGAGTCCAGCCTACGAGGCCCTCTTCTCTGGCAATGGCTCCCTCTGCTGGGCGCTCTCCGCCCAGGCCCCTTGCTCTCCCCTGCCTCTCTTGGTTCCAGTACTACTTCAGGCCTGGCTACCATCCACTATCCTGGCTCTGACCCTGTGGCGCCCCCTGTAGCTCAGCCCTGGTTCACTGTCAGCCTGTCTGGTCTCTCCTGTTCCAGCTCCCGGCTCTGGGCTCCTGCTCTGGTTCCGGCCTGCTGCTGCTCTCACCCCAGTTCAGCTTCTCCTGCTGCCCATACTCTGCCCTGGCAGCCCCAGCTCACACGGAGGATGGGCCCTGGGATCTTGACTCTCTCATTGGTTTGCCTGCCTGTCAATCTGGCTGAATGGTGTGTTGGCCTCTCCCCATTGGCCCTGGGGACCTATCAGTCTCAGGATCCTCTGTGGCCCATCTCATTTCTTCCTGGTCCTGGGAGAGGGTCAACCAACACCCCGCCCCTACTAAGCTTCAGTAAGGGGCCAACATCTCTAAATATAATGGTCTTTTCTAATGATTAATTCTGATATTAGGGTTTACTTCTTAATACATTCAAATACCCCACAAGAGCACTAAAGCTATTGAAACTGTCCAATTTCCTCAGGCAAGTTCCTTGAGGAAAATGTTCAGGGCAGCTGCCACCTGTTTTATACTATTGGTGTCACTAGGCATAGCTACCAGGTAACTCGGGAGAGTGGAAGGCCAGAAGTGCCGATGAAGCTCTTCTGCTCTGGGCCTACTTGAACCACAGAACTCCATCTTGAGAACTTTCACCTACTTCTGTGCTAACTACTTACATGCTGAAGCAGAAATGTAAGGGTCAGCTTTTCTAGCAGACAGCTGTAGTTTTGTTCACACTAGCAAAACTTGTAGTGATAATGCGGGGGAAAAGGGGAGGGAAAGACGGGGGAAAACTGCTGCAAACAGGCCTTGCCAGGCCAAGAGATAAGCAGGCGAAGGGAAAGTTTCTAACATGCACACTGTGTACCTGCTGTAACTGTTGTCTGGAAGGGAGGGGTAAGGGTGAACTAGACAAAGGCTTGCACAGAAACTGCTTGGAATATAAAAGGGAAAATTTGTTTGTATTTGTTGCACTTGATTTGAGACATGTTGGTCTCCTGTGCCTTTTCAGAGCTCTGAAATAAACTTAGCTTGCTTTCTCCCCTCGGTGTCTTTATTGGTGCCAAGCACACCGGGCAACGAACCTCGCTGTTTGCCTTCTCGGGCCCTTTGGGCTGGCAACAGTTTTGGCGTCCCTGGGTGGGCTCAAGGCTGAAATTTAGCCTTGCCCGGATCCCTCCTGGCGGCCGACGGATTACAGTGACGACCGATGCCCAGCGCGCACCAGTGACTTCATCGGGGGCCTTGGCGGAGACGTGGTTTGCTCGACCCCGGAGGGCACAACGGTGCAATGCACTCAGACAGTGGAGAAGCAGCTGCGGGCGACAGTGGGGAACCGGTCCCGTGGATAGGGCGACGGTGCAGAACCGGACCCTTGGATAAGGTAGGAACAGTCCAGTGGGGACTTTATCTGTTGTGACCTGGGGACACCCAGTGTCTGCCTGTTTTGACCTGGGGACGCCCAGAGTCTCCCTATGGGGCAGGAACAGAGTACAGCCGGCAGGGTACAGTGTACACACTTAGAATGCATTCTGGGGAACTGGAAAGTGTTTGGATCTGACCAGTTGATTAAAAGTAAATTGAAAAGGTTCTGTACAGTTGATTGGCCTCAGTATCAGCTAGAGTGCCAAGAAAGGTGGCCACCAGAAGGATCACTCAATTACAACACAATCCTTCAGTTGCTTTTGTTTTGTCAGAGAACAGGTAAATGGAATGAACATCTCTATGTGTATATGTTTATGGTGTTAAGAAATAGGACTGATATTTTGCATAAGTGCCATTTGACTCCGACAGGCTCGGTAGTAACGGCTGCTAAACCCCAGAACCCTCCCACTGTTGTAATGGCAGAATCGGTGTCCCCTTCGGCTCCTCCACCCCCACAGGCTCCAGAGAGTAACCCCTCGGTGGGATTGTATCCATTGATTACTGAGAATGTGGTAGCTCGTCCAGGAACACAGGATCGTGCAGCCCAGATTGTGTCAGTGTATTCTCATGTTGCTTTTAACCCTGTACATCTAGCTGCTTTTAAGGCAGAGGCAGGGGAGTTCTCAACGAATCCAAGCAGGTTTATTTCAATCTTTGAAGGGTGTCTGGCTACCCATGAGCCTGACTGGGATGATTGCAATATACTTATGAGAACCTTGGTGTCTGAAAGTGGAGCGGAATCAGGTTATAGCTAAGGCTAGGGAAGGAAGGCACAAAGAAGGCATTTAAGATCATTAAAAAGGAAAGCTATTGGATACCAGAGGTTGTACAGAGTGGAATCCTCAGAAGTGAGTGTGCTTGTCCTGGTTTGTTGCTTCAAAGCTCTGTACAGAAGTTATGTTACTGAAAGGATGTATAATGGCAATGTGTATGTGTTAATGGTTGGAGAAAAGGTGTATGAGTGAAGAGTGGAAGGTTCCTTTGGAAGTTAGAAGAAGCCAAGAAAGGGAGAAGGAAAAAGAGAACAGAACGAGTTAACTGGAAAATATAGCTAGCAAGCTCAGTCATGCTGGCCCTATCCAAGGACATTGTTCACAGCCAAGACTTGGCTGATAACCAAGAGAAAGGGGGGCCTGAATGTGCCCAAGCAACTGTGAGATCTGCAAAATATTGCAAGGCATAATGAGGACAACAGAAGGGTTAACAAGCAGCTTTGCTGGACAGTATTGGCCCAGGGATTTAAAATTCCCCCACTCTGTTCGGACAGGCTCTGGCCAGAGATTTGGAGGAGTGGGACAATGAGGACAAAGCCCTCCTTCTGCAATAGGTATGTAAGCGGGGGAATGGTCCCGCTATTGTGGGGAACTTTCCTGACTTCTGCACTACCCCGGTGAGGTGGGCTAGCGAAAGGATCTGAGTCCCCACTCCCACTTCCTTTACCCAGAGGCCTCCCTGCCCTTGAGGGCTCCCCTTCCACTCTCCTGTCTGGCTGAGTCCTCGTAACCCCAACAAGGCTGGGCCCAGGATTCCTGGGGGGCTCGAACCCTAACCCTGCTGTGGTCATCTAGGACAGGGCCTAGGGTGTCCCCACTCCGGGGTACTCTCTCTGCACTGGGCACCTCCCTGACCCACTGATTATTCCATACAATTTAAAGCAAATACAAGTTGCTTAATTAACAATTAATCTAAAGAAAAGAACAAGGAAAAATGGGAAAGGTTAAAGGAAAACACATCACCCCGCTCTGTGGCAGGGAACATCACAAACAGTGTCTCTGGAACGTCAGGGCAGGTCACAGTCTGCTCCTTGTAGGTCCCAGGCCTCCTTCTCAGGCCCTGGCCGTGCTGCAGAGACGCTGCAGGTTGGACACTTGCAATGGTGGTGGCCACACACCTCCGGGCTTTGAGTAGTGGGACCCTTCTTCCCAGCGTCAGCCCCCCGTAGGGTTAAGGTCCCCCTCCCGGTCTGGCCTGCAAGGGCTCTTGTCTGGGGGTGTCTTTCTGTGCTGGGCCCTTTGCCCAAGGTCCCCCCTTGGCTGGCCCCACTTGCTCACCACACCTGGCTCTGTGGCTGCAGCTCTGCTCCTAGCACCGGATCTGCTCTCCCTGGGCCGTGTCTCTGGCTCTGTGGCTGTGCCTCTGGCCCCTCTGGATCTGGCACGGTTCTGCTCTCCAGCTCAGTTTGGGCCCCTGCTCTCTCCTTATCTCGGCCTCACTCAGTCTGACCCAGGTAATTCCAACTCACACGGAGGACGGGACCCTCCCTGGCCTCCTGTCATGCTGATTAGCCTGCCCGCCCCGTCAATCAGGCTTACCTGGAGCATTGGCCTCTCGCCATTGTTCCTGGGGACTGTCAGTCTCAGGGTCCTGATTTCCCATCGACCCTTCCCCTTTTAGTGCTGGGAGCTAGCCAACCAAAACACCCACACTGAATGTTAGTAAGGGGGCAACAGTCCCCTTACAGGTAGATGATTTGCTAATTGCTGCTGTGGGTCTAATCCCTTGTCTTAAAGCTACTGTGAGTCTCCTGAATTTTATCGGACTCCGAGGATACAGGGTAGTGGACTGTGGGCTAAACCTCTGTATGAATGTGTTAAGGGAGCGGATCATGACTCCTTTCACTGGTTCCCAGAAGCGGACAGGGTATTTCAGTTAGTAGGTGCCTGGAAACGTCCCATGGCATACTTCTCTAAGCAACTGGATCAAGTTTCAAAGGGATGGCCAGCCTGTTTGAGGGCGGTCGCAGCCACTGCCCTAGTGCTTGGGGAAGCTGAAAAACTGACACTGGGAGGAACTGTGCAAGTGTATATTCCCCATATGGTTCAAGCCCTACTGGATACTAAGGGTGGTCTCTGGCTCACACAGGCTCGGGTTGCTCGGTACCAAGCGAAACTGTGAGAGAATCCTGAAGTTACCCTGCGAACCTGTCCCTCCCTTAATCCAGCTACCCTGCTACCAGAAACAGAAAAGCAGGAACATGACTGTCTAGAAATCATAGATGTTCAGTATTCTAGTCGCCCAGATCTAAAAGATCAGCCACTCCCAAATGCTGACTTGGAATGGTATACGGATGGCAGTAGTACTGTTGTAAATGGGCAAAGGAGGGCGGGTTATGCTGTTGTGTCTCTTCATGATACCGTGGAAGCTGAAAGTTTACCTGCTGGGACATCTGCCCAACTTGCTGAACTAGTGGCCCTGACTCGTGCACTCGAGTTGGCAAAAGACAAACGGGTTGATATCTTTACTGACTCAAATTATGTTTTTGGGGTATTGCATGCTCACGCTGGTTTGTGGAAGCAAAGGGGAATGCTAACAGCCCAAGGTTCTCCAGTTAAGCATGGGTCTCAAATTCTCCGGCTGTTAGAAGCGGTACAACTCCCCTCAGCAGTACCAAGGGCAATGCCAGAGCAGACAGGGAAGCCAAGCGTGCTGCTACCCTGAAATCACCAACAGAGGAGAATGTCCAAATGCATGCCCTGATCCCATCAGTAGGTGAGCTTGCAGCTCCTCAGTACTCCCATGATGACAGAAACCTGGCTGACAGTCTCAGTCTCCAGGAAAAGGAGGGATGGCTTTATTCCACAGAGGGAAAAATCCTCCTGCCCAAGGGCCTGATTCGACCAGTGTTGCAGAAACTGCATCAGACCACACACGCAGGCAGAGAGGCTTTTACCCAGCTTATGAATAAATATTTTCTAACCTCTAGACTTAAACCTCTAGCATCACAGGTACAGGATGAATGTTTAGTCTGCCAAAAGAACAACCCTCCACCAGGAGTAGCAGTGTTACCAGCCACTCTGGAACCTACCCCAGGCCCAGGATTGGTGTGGCAAATAGACTTTACTGAGTTTCCCAGGACCCAAGGGTACAGGTACCTCCTCGTCTTAGTGGCTCGATTCAGTGGATGGCCTGAGGCCTTCCCATGTCATAACAACACTGCCAAGACCGTGGCTCTTAAGTTTGATAAGGAGATCATTCCTCGCTTCGGTCTCCCCCAGTGGATGGAATCTGATAATGGAACTAGGGTTACCATTCGTCCGGATTTACCCGGACATGTCCTCCTTTTTGTGCTAAAAATAGCGTCCGGGGGGAATTTGTAAAGCACTCACAATGTCCGGGATTTCCCCCCTCCCCCGGCAGAGCGAGTGGCTGGGAGGGCTGCAGGAAAGTCCCGGGCTGGACTCAGGAGCAGCTGGAGAGGAGCTCCGCCCTGCATTCTGAGCAAGTGTCTCAGCACAAAGTGCAGCCCTCCCCTTTTGCAACTGGGAGCGGTTTCTGCCATGCAGCGTAGCAAAACGGGAGCGAGAGCACTTTGTGCTGATACAAGGGCAGCTCTCCCCTGCAACCCAGTCCGGCCGGCAGCACTGTGCAGGGCCAGGAACCTGGTTTTGTTGTGCAGGGGAGCGCAGCCACGTGTCCGGCTGGCACAGAACCCAACACCCTGTTCTGAGCAGCAGGGTAAGGGGGGGCAGGAGAAGGCAGTTAGGGGACAAGGAACAGGGGGGTAGGAGGCTGGGAGTTCTGGGGGGGGAGCTGTCAGGGGGCAGGAGTGGGGAGAGGGAT